GGGCTTTATTTGGTCTGAATAGGCTGATTGCCTAAATATCCGAATGAAGTCTCAGCCTTTCCTGCCGTGTTTCCTCTGTATTATCGGACGGCAGGCTGAGAACAAAGTGCTGTCCGATAATAGACTGCGGCATCTTCACACTTCCTGAAAAACACACACGTGCGCGCCTCTCYGAGTGCTGTTTTGATTGGAAGCACGCGACAAAGACAAAGTGTGATAAGAGAGAGAGCAGATGTAAAAAAAAAAAAAAACTCCTAGCGTGTAGATTAGAGTGGATTAGATATAATCTACCTGCTTAGTGTGTTATTTCTGTTTTTACAATAATTAATTCCGTTAATTAAAATTCATTTTTTCGTTTGTGTTGACTTTATAATTCTGTTTGTATAAATGTTTGTGTTTTTAATTCCTCTTTATTCAAAACTTAAACTCATTAAGTGGAGGCTTTATGTTTTTAATTAAAAATATTAAAGTTGTTTAAATGTTTACAAACTATCAAACATAATAAATGTTATCCTGAACTATTTTAAACGAGTTAAAACCGACAGATAGTGCAGGTACGCACTTAATATAAACAAAACCTTTTCTTTTATCTGCTTGATAAAAGAATGCCTAATCATTTTAAGCATTTTTTAGTCACTTTGTTTCCGTGAACGCAGCAGCTGTTTGCATTTTTTTTTTTATTTAATCTGAAGACCACATGAAAACCCTCACCTTGAGTAAATATCTGTCCAGGATCTCGAGCCCGCAGCTCGCGCACAGGTTCTTCCCGTCGGACGGCACCGAGCTGCTGGTGGAGGTGGGCGAGCACACGGAGGGGGTGGACGGGCTGCTGGGGGGCGAGCGGGTGTCCTCCCGCTCCATGTTGGACCGCTGGGACTCTCCGTCCGAGTGAGACTGCAAAGAGGGGGCACAGCTGAGTAACACACACACATAAACACACAGACATAAACACACGCGCGCGCGCACTCTCTAAATTCTCCTCGTTATGCCTGCACGCGCGCAAGACTTTGTAAAAATCATACTTTAATCCCGTATGATGACAGCGGCGCGCGCGCTGCAGGAGATCCGGACTTTATGAGCTTCTCACCATCGTGGTGCGTTCAGGGTCCAGCCTGCTRCTATCAGAACCGCTCAGTTCAAACGGCAGGTCTTCATCGGGCTCCGGATCTCATCCTCCTCGGAAGGCATTTGCAGCGGGGGGGACGTGGGGGGGCTCTTCAGGGCTTTATAAAGTAGGTCCCGACAATAAAGCGAAAGGCACATTTTAATGAAGCCATTTCAATTTGGATTGATTTTTCTCTCTCTCTCTTTTCCTGCCCTTAAGCCATGCCTCTGACAATAATAGTTTTTTTTTCTTCGCAATCCAGGACACCAGAGTGG